AGACAAGGTAAGACTTATAATTATAATGCTTGGCTCTTCTTGGAGGCAGGCTCTCAAAGGAGGCTAAAAGAACAATATTCTATGATTAAAAATTCCATTTGAAGCATAGACGTGCGTAAACCAGCTCTGGGTTGTGTGGGAGCTAGGTAATTGTGTCTTAGCACATCTTGCTGCCAGAACAAACCTTATTTCCATTCTCCTCCTTTTTCCAGCTCTGTAACTCGCAAGTTCCCTATAATTCTCAAATTTCTGGTGCTAGGAAATAATTTCAAGGCAGAGCTGAAGTCTTTGGGACTTTTTTGTCAAAGCTGTTTGTTCTCCTCAGGAAATTTCTAAGCTCTAAAGTGCCACCCTATCGTAAAGGGTGAAACCATGGACTGTTTTAGAGTCCTGGCTGAGAATAAGCTAATGTGAGCAATAGGATTATGTTTAATAACTGCTTCTTCAGTGGTAGCGAGGGGGAGGGTGAGTTGTTTCTGTTATTAGAGATTTTTCTGACTGTCCAGACTCTGCAGTGGCTGGGACTGCAGGAGAAAACAAGTGTTCTGGCAGTACAGAGCACAGTTGGTCCAGACAAAAACTGGAAGCTCTTGTATTGCCCACTTGTTCATTTCTTTCTCCTTGTTTTAAACTGCTGCCAGCTGAGCAAAGGCAAGCGTCCTTCCCTTTCTAATCCAAAGAAACTATAAAAATGGATTTATCCTATTTTGTGGTTTTCAGAGAAGTGAAAGTCATAAAGCTAATCAGCAAGGGGACTATTGAAGAATCCATGCTCAAAATCAGCCAGCAGAAATTGAAGTTAGAACAAGATATGACTGCAGCAGATTCAGGTATGTCCCAAGCCTTTTTTTTTTTTTTCATGTTAAATAAAGTAGAAATATGTATTTCTGCATGTCATTGTACAGTTTGACAGGAAGTACCCTCGTACCCTCTGAGTCTGACCCATAAATCAGTGACAGACTCCTACAAGTAGAGGATTTTGTACAACTTTGGGGATCTAGACTTTTGTCTGTTTATGTGAAATATTTTGAGCTGTAGTAATGCTTGGTTTTATTCCTCAGGAGAAGAAGGAACCGTTCCAGCAGATATAGCCACGTTATTAAAAGCTTCGTTAGGTCTCTAAAATGTAAATATGTTGTGGAATTCAAAGAATAAAAGTTATGTTGTACCCCAAGGACTCTTGCATTACTGATGACCGTGAATTTTATGAACATTTATAACCTTTTGTAGTTCCTTTTATTGTATTCCTCATGGTATTGAAAATTTTTAACACCAGTGGCATTCTTTTGATGCTTAAAAACATAAATGGCCCAAATGTGCCAACATCAGTTGCTGAACAAACATTATTTTACAGATCACTTTTCAGAACGGGGACCTAAGTAATAACTGTTTTAACAAATCTGCTACTGCTTAAGATTTGTCAGTATTTTTGTAATTATTTCTACCTCCAAATATATATATAAGAATTGTCTGTTTCACTGGATTACGCGTGTAGATTTTTTTTTATATGTGCCTTATTTGACAATGCTCAAGTCTGTTTCTGCTTGTTCTGGTTCATTTGATGTACCGTAGTGGTTTTGTATCAACTTGTTCAAATAAAATTCCATAGATTAACAAAATGTCTTCATTTTGTGCTTATTTGGAGGCAGGTGGGGGGTGGTGATAACTTGCACGTTATAAATTAAATAGGCAGCTTTCAAACTCGGTGAAACATCACATTTGAACCGGCTTGGCTTTATCCAGCGCTAGTTAATTACTAACGTTTCATCAGACTCTAATCACAGTTGTGTTAGGTTATTGATTATAAAATCAGAATTCATGCCAAATCAAACTTTTCACCCAGGTTGCAGTTTTTGTGCCCTAACCACAAAGTTTCTCTTCCTCAAGTTTTAATGAATTGTCAACTATGAATTCATCTCAGTGAAATGAAGAGCTTCAGTGCTGTCAGTGATGAGCTCTGCTTCCACCTGACGTTTATAATCTGCTGGCAAGGATGCGACTTGAGAAGGATGCCCATTTCCCTGGACAGAGAAGACTGAAATTTGGTCTTTTGAATTCCGAGTAGTTAAGATTGCTGCTTTTTTAGAAGCTGGAGGAAGGCAAAGTATGGGGAAGTCCTTAATGCCCCTGCCCTCTGCTAAACTTGAGCTGCTGTGTGCTCTCTGCAGAGCTCAGTAAATCTGTACCAGGCGAAGTCTCTCGGAGGACTGTGTCCTAGAACTCACTCTGGTTTGCAATATGGAGTTAATAGAGAAGTGGTTATTAACTATATCATAGACTGATTTGGGTTGGAAGGGACCTTAAAGATCACCTAGTTCCAACCCCCCTGCCATGGGCAGGGACACCTTCCACTAGACCAGGTTGCTCAAAGCCTCATCCAGGCTGAACAAGCCCAACTCTCTCAGCCTGTCCCCATAGCAGAGGTGCTCCAGCCCTCTGGATGTCTTCGTGGCCTCCTCTGGACTCGCTCCAAGACAAGTATGTTGTGCAGGATGGTGTCGAAGGCTTTGCACAAGTCCAGGTAGATGACATCAGTTGCCCGTCCTCTGTCCACCGGGGTCGTGACCCCATCGTAGAAGGCCACCA